CTAGTAGACCATCCGACCCCCATCGCAGACACCTGCAGTCAGGAGTTTTGCAGATATCTGAGCTTCATTGCGATTGCAATTCACATAATACCCTGCCATAAAAAACTCTACTCGACAGTAAATAGAAAACATAGCACTGTGATTTCGACTACAGCCCGAGCTTAACTAAGTTCGATACCAATTTGTGGTTCCCAGATACACCCCGTTGGCGGGTGATTGCTGATGGCACTGGTGGATAGGAAACTAGTTGAGAGAAAGACGAAGTAATGGATCCGCATGGGACAGTGGTGAACATGTTAGTAGCCGTAAAGGTGAATAACGTTTTCGATCCTACCGCAGACACCTCCTGTTCGGAGTTTTCCAGATATCTCAGTTTCACCGTGGTTCTACCCACTGTGTCACATAGGCTCTATACAAAGTTATTCATAATTCAATCATATTAATGTATACTCAATGGATTTCCTCCAATATTAGGCCAACTGATTTTCACACTCACATGGATAGATTTTCACCTCCGGCCGCTTCTTTTTCTTTCGGGTGATTTTTGCATAATTTGGCATATTAACTACTCCAGGTTTATTAATTCTGACGAATTCTGGAAACCGCAATCGATATGTTGAGCGATAACTTATGACGTTACGGAAATCCTTATAATCCGCGTCGTTACCGTAACCGGATGCATTCGCTCTTAGGCGAACCCGCTATCTCTGCTCATCCATTTGATGTGAGTCATTGAATCGTCAATTTACGGTCGATTACCCTCGATTCATGTCATTGAGTGAACTTATTACCGCCTTCGGAAGAACGGAACCACCTGTAAACGACGCAGCGGCGTCTTTGCGCTCTTCATATCAAAAAACGCGCTCTTTTCACTCACCACCACTCTTGTCGAATCGCCATTATCTACCGTAATGGTGGTACCGCAGGCAGATGAACACAGTATCCGATCCGTTATTTTCTTTCAAATCTTGAGAGATTGAGAGACGGTTCGGCGAGTCGGAATTGGACGAATAGTCTCGTGGATAGATAGATGAATTCTCTCTTCGTCTAGCTCATTACGTTGCCAATTTGCGCTTTGAGTGTATGACTGAGATAAAGTGCTTAACAGTCCATGCTAAGTGTATTCTGAATCACCAATCAGCACTTGATCAAGGTAACGATGTTTTTATGGCGTCTTCAAATCTCTTCTAAAAATACTGACGGGGAAGTCTGGGACTGATTTACCGAACCCGGACGGATGGAGTGTTTAGTGGGCCTAGGGCGCAGGATCGACTCCGTGTGTATTGCAGAGCGCTTTTAACCACTGCGCTACACGAAAGCAACAAACAGTATCTTGGTGTACTTAAGATTATTCGATATTCAATACTAATAAGAAGTCCACTTTGAGTTGGACTAGGGTTTTCACCTCCCATTAAATCAAGGTGACTTGCATTTTTAAGGTTTCTGACTTTCGTCTGCAAATGAATTTCGATTCCCAAATGGTTATAACTTTTTTGAATTGCTTGAAATATATGACATCTTTGTTACGGAATAAACACTTGGTCAAGTAAGTTGGTGCCCAATATACTTTCCCTATAATTAGTGGAGGTTAATAGCGTAGTTATGACATGATGAGGCTGAAATCATGAGCACGCTGATGATGACCAGTTCTGTTGAGCTGCATCACTCATGTACCGTATGCAACTCTAGTGCATCTAGTGGAAATGCCAGGTTTTTTGTGTAAATTTTAAAGAAAGGATGGAGAGGAAGTGTCCAATTATCAAGAAGGCCTTTGGAAAGTTCTTTTTTGGAACAAGAAACAATAATCTCTTTTTTGGAACAAGGGACAATAAACTTATTACTGCTCCCTCTTAACGGTTTACCGCCTCGGCGTGGTTGGAAAGTGTTCCTGGGTGTCGGACTGCGTTGTACAGCGAGGAGATTCGTCTTCCCGGTAGGGTCTCCTGTTTCCATCAGGAAGCCTAGCTAAGAGTAAACCAATACCAGGATCCACCACTGTCTTGGTATCAAAGTCGCATGGTGGTAAATTTTTGTCTAATCCACAAAGTCTGCGACTACCCGTGGTGGTGAAGACCTAGGGCAGACTTTGGCTAGGCTGACCTCGGGATTCCAGGGAACCACAATGGCTTAACCATCAAATCTCCGAAACATGGTGATTACGCTGGGGCCAGCACAATCAGTGAGTACGGGCTGTTCAAGTATCAAGTATCAAGTATTACGACTCTGTAATCCTTCCATGCGTAGTATCCGTTCTAATGTAACGATTAGGTTGTTCTGATTGGCGACTAGGCAAGTCGTTGGTACTGGTGGCCATCTGTTTCGTCTTCTCAGCGCACCCATGCTCGCTGTCGTCGGCTTCCAGTTAGTTTTCGGTCTGGGCCAGTACTGGCGAAGCCAAGCTCCTCGACGGTATCACTATTTCCAATGCCACTTATAACTTCATAACATCCATCAACCTTCCTAATCGTTTTTTTTCATTACTCACTGGTGGAAACACAAAAAAATTACTTCGGTTGCTGTTCACTATCTGATCGCTTCTCTTTTAATTCATAATGTGTTTTGACTGGAATAAATTAAAAGTTATGGAATATACATCGACAACGTTTAATGTTAAGGATATACTCTCATATTTATTATAGTGAGAATGTAAACATTGAAGACGTCTGAGTAAAAAAGTAGTTGAATGATTCACAGCGGTATCGAACGTGACAAACAGGCTTGTGGTTTTGCTCCTACCTCGTTTTCTATGTTCAGCACACATGTGATTAGATAGAAAGAGTGATGAGCGGCTTTTCGCTTGACTTCTGTAAATTTTACCACCATTTCTTAAGAATCGTTTTGTATTACACCTTCGGGTAATCGTTGCGTTCACCACGCACTATTTTTCCAAGTCAACAGTCCAATTTCCCACTATCAATTAGGATTTTATCAGTACACCGTCAGCTCTGTTGTTGTTTTGCGGTCATTATATGCCCGCACTTAGAGCGCCACACCATCATCGGTAATACAACTTGTTTTTCCTTCCTGGATGGGCTTGTAATTTCACCACGTAATTTGATGAATTTTTAACTCTTCATTATGTGGTGAGAGGCAATTGCAAATGATGACACACTTAACCATGTCTTGAGACTTAAATCTGCCACTTTATTTTAGTAAGAACATATTTTCGAACGCTATTTTTCATTTCGGTTCATCTGTTGGCGGTTGCATGAACCACTGAACAAAGTCAGTATCGGTTCCCGAGTTTGGTACTTCTTGCGAATTCTCCTTAAAGACCCAAAGGTTTATACTAGTAACAGGAAATCTGCTTGAACTTGCTGGTTGTAATTTTCGCTAATCATTTTAAGGTAAACGACGGGATTAGCTGGAACAAGGTGGAGCCTCTGTCTGGAGTCAGATCCATTTCTGAACATCCTTTGTAATTTATGAGTCTTTATTTCCTATGCTTCCTTCCAGTTTTCTCTTCACACCGATTTTAAACGATTGTTTTAATGGCTGAACGGATTTCTCTCATTTAGATCCTTCCGTCGTTTACTTTTCCAGAAAGAGGGATTCGGTTTGGGTTCTATATCCTAATATCTCTTTGAAAATCGTTCATGATTCTGATCCAAATTCTGTTCAATTTATTTGAAAGTTGTGAAATACGTAGTGTTAAGTGTCCATTGATGCGTCGTAGGTTTTTTAAATTCGTTTTTGTTTCGACCTTCACATCAAGACAATAAGTCACTGATTCCGTCTCGTCTCCTATTGTAAATTACACGAATGTGCTCGCCCATCTGTTGTTAGCAAGACCGTGTTTGAAATCGACGAAAAAACAAGTAGGGCAGATGAGATGACGAGAAGAGTAGGACGAATCGGAGAAAGAGTAGAAGAAATTGGAAATGTTAAAATCGAATTTGAGAAGAAGAACACCACATTCTCTTTAATCGGGGCTTGCAACCGTGCTTAGCCATTCCTTTTTTGAGACTGACTCACGCGTGTATCACTACATCAAAACACTTCTTCGGCATGAACTTTGTTAGCTGTGCATGAATACTTTTCCTAAAGTGATCAGATTTTTTCATATTCCGCTTCCACGAAAATTCTAAATGAAAATTGTAATCCTCGGCGATTCTCTGAGACGAGCAGAACCCTCTGCGCTACAGTTCCCTGTGATAAGGACAAATGGAGAGTTGACTGGCACGTGCTCGAATCTCTCGATGATCAACGGGAATAACTGTTCTAAGTGGCACAAGTGATAAGTAAAAATTGCCAAATAGTAGACAAATTCGTTGCTATCCACGATCTATAAATATTTATTAACTCACTGTTAACCTCCTGAGCAATTTGTTGACGTCGACGGTGTTTCCTACAGCATGTTATAAAATGCATGTTGAGCAATACAGCACAGTGTGTGCATTCAGCTATTAACTTTTAAAAATCGTTTTACTTCTTGTTCGCCTTGCTAAGACGGCGGTCGCCATTGAATTATCAGCTTGAAGATGGACAGGGAAGAGGCGAAATTATTGATGAGCCAGAGCCACACAGAGCAACATGCTTAGAGGAGGCCTACTTTCACTTTACAACCGTCGTCACGGAGTGGACAAACGAAGTCAGGTTTCGTAGAAATCGAGCAAGAAAAATCTCGAAAAGCGTGGGTTGATCAATTCTTTGCGAATCAGCTATTAGCTAGATATCATTACGAATCGTAGAGGTGATTCCTTACATATTTAACTTACACAATGGTTTGTGGTAGTCTACCGATTTATTAACTTATTCTTTTTTATCCTCTGATGAATGTTGAATAGCAGTTTGCAGCCCCTTGGAGAGCTCCACTTGCCCCAGGTGCTGCTTTAAACCAAAGGTCATCTGTGTATTCCCAGGCTCTTCCAAGCACTGTGCTCCAGACCTCCCTTATGGTCGATTAATACTTTGAGAACCCCATGAGTTCAAATCACACATGGACCATCTTCGTCGTCTTCTAAGTATACACTTCTTTACCTATGCAGTGCTCGGTTAATATGGTGCAGAAATCGAGACCGATAGAATTCAACAAGTCACAATGTGCGCTATCACTAAAACTGAATGGTAAAAGCAAAAGATCGCTCTTCTGACTGAAATCTCGCAGTGATCGTTGAATTAATAGAAACAAATCAACATTTAGTCTCCTTAAAGTTTAGAGAGCATTGATCATTGATGGACTCATCATGTCCCATTTGATAAGCTAGCCAATCTTGTAGGGTTAATCCTTTTTCGGAAATCCTGTCATCACCTCTTGATGATTGTTTTTATAAGAACAACTCTCGCAATAATATCAACTGCACACTGAAAGTTTTCGACCGTTCTATCCTGATGTGTTGTCATCGCGACAATGTCAATTTCATAATGTCACGTTGGTCTATTCAATTTAGGTTCTAACTGAGACTTTCAGAGTGCAGCAAATTCATAGGCGAATGTAAGAGGATGTGCGATGCCGTTAGGCATTCTTCTCTTTCCACTGATATCGATGTTTCAACCGTCTAGTGGTAAGCATGTTACGGTCTTCATACTTTGCCCGTTTTGCAAATCAATCATCTGATTTGTATATTTTTGCTAGAGTAAGATAGGGCATTCTATGATTACAATTCAAACTGAAAATGCGATCTTTGATGAACACTAAAAAATATCTGTGACTAGTGAGAAACTAGTCTGCCGCGTATAAATTACATCATAATAACGATCTTTAGCTACTTGTCGTCTTGAGGATTGTTCTCAATGGTTTTTGAGGGTGAAGCATTTCGACACATTAACTGCCAGCAGCAACGAACCTTATTGTCAGGTGGATTTTATACATTAATTAAAAGCTTGCGATCCTTACTAGTGCACATATCGGGAAACTGCGGTTTTACTCCAGCTCCTTCATTCATTATTTTGTTTTTGCAGCTTTCTCAGTTTTTCTTTTAGAACGTGACTACAGTAATTTTTAATGTTTGCGTGATACAGTAGTTGACGAAAATCATTCATTAACTGCTGTTTCAACGATTGTCAGCCCTCGGTCAACATGGGAGAGCTTGCACGATTACACGACAATTCTAGAAGTAGTCGGCTTTCCAGGCTCTTTCTACCTATCTGCACTGCCTCAACGACACAACACTGGCATGTCGTGGAAATCTACAGTTCTACACGAATCTCTTTGCGATGCGCAAGCAGTTTCGAGAGTTCAATTGTGCCTTCTACAAGCCACGGCTAGCCGCCAATAGGTGAATGTCGGTTCCAGTGGACCTTTTTTATTTGATGGGTAACATGGACCAGTTCCTTATCTTCCACCCTGTTGCTTCTATAATGTGCGTTTCCCTAGCTGTTCTTTTATAAAATGCATGGTTGGCTACAATACCATTTTCAAAATAATACAATGAAAAGAAAGAAACCTCCTAAAAAGACTAATGGGAATTTCCTACATTGTTCATTACGGCGTAACTAATAGCCGAATAGTACTTTTTTCCTTTGCAGATGCAACTTTTTGCCGAAGTCACCACTTTCACGAATGAGAATGTGCTCGTTATTCGGCGATCCTCATTTGCAGAGATTCGATGGCACCATGCAGTCGTGCACGGAGGAAGGAGCTCGTCCACTCGTAGATAATCGGTGAGACGCTTAAGAAAATCTTCCGGTTCTTCTAACCGCACAGCAGTATTTAAGGCATTTTCTGATTCAAGTGACCAACGCGAACATCCGTAACGAGCCACACACGACGGCAGTTAGCAAGGTGAATTAGCCAGCGGAAACCTATCCGCTTCAAAAGCTGATTTTTAGTAGTTTATAAAACACCCATAAATCAAATAATTGTGGTGTTTTTTTTGTGATGTACAAAGAAATGTTATCAACAAGAGGTGGTGTCGCAAATCTTAAGCTTCAAATATCTGATATCCAGTGAAGGCGATATGTTTCCCAAGAGAATGTCCATCTTAACCGATTTGACGGCCATGGTGCAAAAGCAAAAGTAATGTATAGGTTTCTCCAGTTGTAGGTATCTCCTATATTTTTTATCTTAAACACCTCGTCGGTTCACACGTACATCCTTTGCAGTACATCTTAAAGGTATTCTCAGTCGATGTCAAACACATCGTCTTGTGCTCCCACAAATGTGGCCCAGGCGATCCATTTAGTGCACGCGCAAAAGATCTTCTATGTTATTTCGCAAATTAGCAGGAAGAGGTAAGAAATAGCAAAAGAAAGAAGGTGACGTAAATTTTAAGAACGAGCCATTCGGTAGGACAAATCTAAAAATGTCGTGAAATGTGGTTATTTTCCTAATCAATATAGTATTCCATCCCTTTAACATGCACGAAGGCTTCGATTATTCTTAAATATTACATTGGACACCCCGTTACTTTATTTTTTCTTAACCAGCGTGAACTCACATGCAACAAAAAGACTTTGCATTAGAAAACACTGGTTGAGTGAAAACAAACAATGAGTGTGTAGCTCTGAACAAATGCAGTGAAGGTAGGAGGAAGTTTCCGATTATACATAGTCCTACAAGATTCGATTGCCAGATCTCTGATTGTGGTGTCGTTCGTTTGATCTTATTTGTTCATGTCATGTGGGCTAGCTGGTTAAAACTTCTTAGAATCGGAAGTGTAAAAAATATATTATGAGATGAGATGAGGTCAAGAAGATCCGGTATCTAAGAACTCTCGTCAACAACAAATAATAGTGGTCGTACTGTTTCTTGTCTCATTGAAACCAACTACAAAGCAATATCTCCTACAGCTCATCGTCTTTGCATAACCATAGTGCGTTCGCGATCAAACGGCAACCCTTGGAAGTCTCATAAACTGAACAGTTAGTAAAATTTTTTTGTCGAAACGTGAGGCATATAGACGGCTTTTCTTTTCTCCAAATTTTCCGCTTTGTTTTCTTTAAAGAAACCTCAGAAACAGCTTGAATCAAATGTGACTGTCTAGTGAATCTCTAAGAGGCACTTTAAGCAATAGTTAATATTCTATAGTAACACGAATAACAACCGATGAGTTTAGTACAACTTCTTTCATTGTGCCGAAATGTTACTCTATTGCCTCTATCCGTGCCAAGCAGAACCAGGCGAGGATTGAGGTCACCTTTAACACCAAGTTTCAATTGAAGTAGTGATTCATTAAGACGAGCTGTGAGTAAAATCAAATCATCGTTAATTGGTATTAGGGATATTTTTATTGTAAGGACGTCATATTTTAAAATTTACTATCTAGCATAGGATAGTGGTAAGGAAGGGCATAGTAATGAAGTTTGAGGGAGCTTATGTAGATAGTCAAACACACTATCTTTTTTGGGATAACACTATTTCTTTTAAATTCTTATTTGCAAAAGTTGTGATAGAACCTTTAGTATATCCCCATCGAACCATAATGATGGCGAGATGTCGGGAGATGGCGGATGCATGTTTCCCATTGATGGGCATAACTAAAAACGAGTCCATTCTTATCGACCGATTCATTTTTAAAATATCAAATCGATTCTTTTAAATTGCAGAAATGCGGTCAAAACTTGAAATTTCACATGTTTCAGGTTACGGTACTCATTCGTAGTCACAATTGCACCCGTTCGCTGCACTACGAGGCATCGTCGGACGAGGAAACGTTGCCGATTTCGTTCATCGACGGTGTCACGCACTATAACGTCGACGACCGTCGCACCACCGTTGAAGTGAGCTCCTTTAGTGAGACCAGAAAAGGAATCGCGATCAACTTATCTAGGATGATGACGAAAATATAGCTTAAGCATAAATGAAGTGGCTCGTGAATCTGTCTCATTCTAAAGAGAAAAATTGCGAGACACTGTTAACTCAAGAGTTTAGTTTAGGTTGATGAGCAATAACATCTAAAGCAGTTTAGCTCTCTAATAGGTGAAAAATATAACTTCTATGATCAGATTCGTGCAAATGGAGACTACGTCGAGATTGCCATGCATCATATTCACTCCAGTGTACACATCAGAAGACGAGGACCGTACTTGAGCGTTTCGGTTGTGGTCCCAGAAAACTTGCAGGTGCATATAATTCAAATTTAACGTGGGGTTTGCATAGAAGACGTGAGAATCATGTTAATAATAATGAAGAGACATCATCGATTTTTTTTCCTGCCTACTAATTTTTAATGGCCGGGGATTGCGTGAAAAATAACCACAATGATGCTGGGATATTATCTGAAATCTCCGAACCGCTGGTGTCTGCGATAAGGACCAAACACTGTAGCGCCCTTTCCGGGGGCTAACGCTTTCACCACCACGCCATGTGGGTACTACATTTCGCCTGTCTCTCAGCCGCGTTTTTGACCTATAGGCAGGCGCTAACAGCAATCATCCGTCAACGGAATTAATCTGGCGAGTATAAATCGGCATGAACCCAGTTAAACTGAAGCTATGGTATAAATCACAATGTCGTTAATTTTTATTTACTGCCAACTAATTTTTAATGCCAGGGTATTACGTGAAATATAACCACAATGCGCCGTTTTCTTGTTCAGCAATCGCAAGGTTGTTATACAGCGTACATTTACTTCCATAGAAAAACACAATACAATACAACAGTAGCTGACGTTTCGGCAGTATCGCCTTCTTCAGAGCTTGGGAGGGTGTACTGATATACAATTTACCAGGTCAAGGGCTTCAAAAACATTCACAAAGAGACGAAAAACTGTTGATCATGTAATTACCACAGAGTCAGTAGCCTGTCTACAGGTCAATAACGCGGCAGAGAAGCAGGCGTAACGAAGGACTCGCATGGTGTGGTCGTGATCACGTTAGCCCCTGGAAAGGGTAATAGTGTGTTCGGTCTACACCGCAGACACTAGCAGTCCGGAGTTTTGCAAATATCTCAGCATCATTGTGGTTATAAGAAGAAGACATTATAGTGACGTTTAGAGTAAATTATATTTTTCAACTTGAAATTAGAATAATGAAAATTGTTAACTGAAAAACTGTTGTGTGTCTCGAAGAGTCCAGCTTGAGTGTGTTCTCAATTCCTACTTGAATACTTGCACCGTCCGCCTTACTGGTTGTGCCAAACTCTTCGTTATTTGGAGTTTCGCGAACTTAGCCATTGTGTTTCTCTGTAGCCCCGAGGTCGGCCTGGCCAAAGTCTGCCCCAGGTCGTTACCACTACAAGCAGTCGCCACCCTTGTCGACCAGAGGAACATTTGCCACCATGCGGCTAGCTTGATACCAGGACGTTGGTGGGTCCTGGTATTGATTTAATCTTACCTAAACTTCCTGATGGAAACGCCGGACCCATTCTCATATTGGGAGACCCTGACCCTACCGGGGGAATGAATGCCCCCGCTATGCTTCGCAGTCCGATATCCAGGAACACCCTCCAGCCACGACAAGACGGTAACCCTTAGGAGGTTTTTCGATTCACCTGCTGATAACTAAAGAATATTTGATTACAAGCCGTAGCAAAACGCTTGGCACAACTTCATTGTGCCATTTCGAAAATGGTTCCTGATTTTTCTTTCCCTTGGTAAAGCTCTTAATTTTTACGAGCAAAGTTTTTAGTTTAGCCTCTTCTTCATGCCCTATTATTATTGAACAAACGAATTGTAAGAATTAAATGTATTGGAGGTAACTAACCTCAGATATGCACTTTTTTTTTTTGAAATAACCTCGGTTAATACGAAGAACGTTCCGCTTTGGTTTTAAATATAACTGATTGTGAATTTTAAAAAAGGAACGGATAAGGAATAAAGGATGAAGCTCTTGGCATCGACCATTTCCTGAGAAACACGCAACGCATTGAACTCCATTCGTAGCTGATGACTAAACGCATATATTGCTTACACAATGACCTGGGATGGGCTATCGATACATTGAGTGTTGCTACTCTCTCAAACAAGTCTGGTAACAGTTTGTCCACTCAATAGTGATGTAAGGGTCGTTGAGCCTGCGAAGTTGGACAGATTAAGAAGGGTGTATTGCTTCCTATGGCCACCTCTGGCCACTTCGATGAAACGAAAGCAAAGTTAGGATTTCGAATATATCAAGATATGTCTGTATCAAGTGGTTGAATTTATTTTTGCATTTCCTTTGCGACAAAACCAGTTAGCAAATCGCACAAAAAAGCTGTGATCATATCTGTGAAGAGATAGAGCAACTCCGGTATTCTGATAACAGAGATGTAAGCGATCTCCTCATGAACCTCACGATTTACTGTTCTTACTTCTGATGGGGCGATAAGGGGCGCGTGTGGCGCACTGGTCGGAGGCGCTCTGCAAAATATGGGTTGATCGACCCATGCGCCCATGGCTCACGAAGCTTTCCATTCCTCCGGGGTTGGCAAATTGGTACCAGACTTGTCTAGGATGATAGCAGCACTGGCTCGATGCATCGGTAGACTAATGAGAGTCATTGTAAAGGCCATATATGCATTCAATCACCTCCAGCGATGCTTAATGAAGTTGAATGCATGGCGTATCTCTCAGAGATTGATCAACGCGGCGCGCTTTACCTTTTTTTTTTACTTTTAATGCTGAGGAACTTTCGTTTTCAAAAGCGAACATCCAGAGAAGAGATGAGTTACGCTAGATAGTCTCACAAAGCGATCCTCATTTCCTTCGTCGTGTTCTGATCCGAAATTTTCGATTTCTTCATTGGAAGGGAAAAAGAAGTAGAACGTCAAATAATAGGTAATCCGACTGTGAGACCCACTCTAAAAGAAAAGGGTAGAAATACTCTGAGAAACTTGTTAAAGAATCCTTGTAGCTCGGAAAACTAATTTACCACAAATCTTTGTGCTATTGAGTACGCGTTTTGTTCCTACGAACACACTGTTCATTCAGCTTGCAAAAATCATTTCACAGTTTCAGCGTTCATCACCATCTTCCGAAAGTCTGTGCACTACTGGTTGTCGAAATCGATCGATTATTGCGATCGATAGAGCTCTGGCTGCTTCTAATCAATTCGCTAAGTGCTACTCTCGAAAATTACATGTCCCTATCAAATTAGCGATTGGTGAGCGAGCAAGTCAACACAATAAACAGATCATTGCACATTGATCAACATTCAGATCGCTGCCGATCTGTTCAAGTTACCGATCAATATTTTGATGCGTGCGTCTTTGATCTAATGCTCACAGGTAGTGACAATGCATTACACTATGTAGGCTTTTTGTTCATTTCATTTTCCGGAAATAAGGAAATTACCAGATTGCTATTACCGTCGTAAATAATGATACTCCTCCCAACGGTTTACCGCTTCGTTGTGGCTGGGAGTTGTTCTTGAGTGTTGAATGGCGATATACAGCGGAGGAGGATTCATCTTCCTGGGAGGGTTTTCCAAGCTGAGAAGGAATCCGGCGTTTCCATCAGAAAGCCCAGCTAAGAGTAAACCACTACCATGATCCACCACAGTTCTTGTACCAAACTAGTCGCATGGTGGCAAGTCTCCCTCTGATTCACAAGGGCGGAGGCCGCCTGTGGTGGACGACCTGGGTAGACTTCGCCCAGGTTGACCTGGGGGCTCTAGGGAAACACAATGGCTGAACCAAATACTCCGAAAAATAGAAAATACGCTGGGGCTGGCACAACTAATGAAGTCGGGCTATCCAGGTATCCAAGTAAGTAAGCGATAATGATAGCATAGCACTTTAAAAGAACAAATGGCTGAATATTCTGCACATAAAAAAGGGTGAAGCTCTCGGCGTTGATCAATCTCTGGCGAATGCGCCATGCATTCGATTTTATTAAGTATCGTTGGAGGTGATTGAATGCATATCTGGCCTTTACAAAAACTCACGGTGGCCTACCGATGCATCGAGCCAGCGTTGATAACCTCCCAGACAAGTCTGGTACCTATTTGCCGACTCCGAAGGGATGGAGGGCTTGGTGGGCCACGAGCGCGAGGATCAATTCCATGTGGCGGTGGCGCCTCCAACCACTGCGCGACACGCGCCCTAATAAGCATAATATAATAAATATTAAATAACATTTTGGTAACTCCCAGGGATAGTTTAACGAAGTGCTTGTCATTTATTTGTTTTCTCTAGTTTTTCTTTAGGTTTGACTGTTATAATTTCGTTTACTAAGTATTTTTGATTGAAATACTAAGAACTGACGTGCATTCTTGATCCAGGGGACGAATACTTGGTGTCGATGGCTCTGGATGCACAATCTGATGCTCGGTCGTTGATGCCCGGTTTGCTGATGGTACACGGACGTCACGACATCACCATCTACAAGCATTTGGAGAATACCACGTTCACGGATTGTCTAATCTTATCGGCCAGTTTCCGGTTGACTTCCTTATCCGTGCTGTTGTCCCTCGCCATATTGTTGCTGGCCAATAGCTAATTTAAAGGAGACTTCACAGCTCAGTTTCGTTACGACCACGGAAAAACCCATCGATCTTTGAAAAGACGACTAACTGGACATGCTTTCCGCCGTTGCCAAATCGGAATGTTGGACATCTGGAGCCGCGCTCTCATAAATTTGAGTATAATGTCAAATGGCTTCTCCGAATCAGCCTATCGATCATGTTTTTCTATATATTCAGCAAGATTATAGAATGTAAGTAAATCAATTTGTCCCATGGACCTTTGCTGGAACTGTAAATTTTTACCGGCTTAATTAATCATTTGTTGTAATTCACTACAGATCGATAATGATTCCTTACAGGAAAAGGAAACGGTAATTATTGTCTTCTGCCTCACCTGTCGTGTTCCCAATCTCATTGAGCTATTGGTCAGCAATTTGATCTTTTGTGAAATTATGTGTTCCCATTATTAACTATGTGTGTTGTATGATATTTACAATTCTGCCACGCTGTTGTCTAATACACTACCTCACTTCTTCTGCAAGTATTTTGACGGTTACAGATCTCTTCATTGATGTAGAACGGGTTCTTTCTCCTTAGTTGTGCTATGCTATACGACTTTTATTTCGTTATATTATAAAATCTTTAAGACTCATACGTAAGCAGATACCGTGTAAGTCCAGCGAAACGTTCGATTACTTTTCACAGAAGCATTAGCATTCTTTCAAGACGTGACAGAAATTCATAATAATATATGCATAAGCGTAGTGGGTATTGATGCAGTTTATCAGGAAGTGAGGTGCAGGTTCGACCTCCTATCCAACGCTCTCCACCAAACCACGTGTGATCAGTTTAGCTCAGATAAAGATTGTAAGGAGGTTGTAAGGAGTATCGACTCGACGAGCACTTTGCGACGTTTATGAGGAAGAAGCTTGGATCCTCACAGTAGATGTGACGACAGGTCATGTAAAATAATTAACAGGTAAATACATAGCATATTCATATATATTCACTTAATTCTGTTGATTTTTTGACAGCTACTAAGCATCTTTTACTTGACCCGACATCACATGTCATTTTATGTAGATAATTCCTGCAGTTCTTTCATTCGATTCTTTTCCATGCATCCATCATCCACGAGGGTTCCCAACTTTTTTTTACGCGTAAGTTCGGCTGCTGCTTGAAGATCTTCGTCATCACCATGAATGTAGTTGAATAAAGGTCGAGTCGATTACCCCTGCATTTTTGGAATAATCATGCTAGGGTGCTTGCACGCACGTGAGTTGGAGGGAGTGAGCCGGTCCCGAAAAGTGTGGTACTGATTTTCTGCCCACGTAACAATTGGAAGGCTTGGTGAACCTGTGGTGTCGAACGGCTCATGACCAGGTTCATCCCTCCTCAAATGAACGGCATCCGTGCTGGTGCCCCACTTGTCTCCCTTTATTGAATTAGTGGAAATATTGTAGCATATCACAAATTAATTAATAGTGACTTATAAGCACGTTCGATCCGAGTATAATTGGAACATTCCAAGAGGTTTCTCTGTAAGAGTTGGTAAAGTCACGGAAACGCGAAGGAGACAAATGGAGAGGTGGCATGTGGAGATAATAAACTTCATCGATGGTCTACTACGAGTTCTGATCGGTAGCAATACCCGTCCCAGTGCAATTATAGTCAACTACGTGGTGAAAGCAACCGTCACTGTGTCTCGCTGATTCTCTCCCCACGTCACCATCACCGAAGCAGCCTTATGCTTCTGGTGTCTTTTACGATCAACATGAATAGTGTGCTCCTTAGGTATTTATTTAGTATGGTCTGATTAAATGAACAAAAATTGTCGTGGTTGGCTTGAAATGGAGGAAAAACTGCAGACTGTTCCGAGTTCCACGCTTATTGCGAGCGTTAAGCTGCAGAATTTCTTCGAACAACTGGAAAAGTAGCGAGTTTCCAAATTACTACATTTGATGAAACGCAAAGTGCATTAGTTTTATAAACGTACTTTCATCCAGCTTCGGTAAGAATAACCGATGTTTCCTTTTTATTGGTAAACTAGCACGATTTTGATACCGAATTTTTATGGCGGCTAACGTTTCGGAGTCCTCGCTCTCTTTAGAGCTGCAATGACTGGAATCGATTGTCCACAGGGAAGTGATTTTTGCAACGGTAAAGATTTTCCAGCTATCTCGTGTTAGGTCATAAATGCAAGAAACATAGAGTGTTTTGCAGAACTTTTTCAATAAGGATTATTAACCCTTTCGTGACGAAGTTCGTCTTTCAACAAGAGACGATAATGTTAACTTTTTGCCTACAAAATCCGGAACCTTAGTTGGGCTTCAAACTTAGGATTACCCCTCTTGGGACATTGCTATTCACCACACTAACCGAAGTCGTTATTTTGCGTTGCTCTCAGCGATGTTTTCATTCTATCGGTGCTATCAGCACTCAGAAAGAGATGGTAATTTTTTCGTTGCTAGAGTAGTGATGTGGCTGAAGACACTACAGGTTTATTGGAAACAATTTGTGATAGCATGTTAGAACCATATTTCGTAAAGATTTAAAATTTCAAAATTTCCCATGCCAGCGCAACCTCTATCGCAACGAAATCTAGTGGTATACCACGATAAGCGAACGTCATCGTGTCCAGATGCACGAAATTTAGCCTCTTCAGTTGGATTAATGCTCGAAGTATTAACGAAAAAGTGCACAAATTACCTTTTCTGAATTTTGGAAAGCCAGAACATCACCATGGCGAAATAAGAGAATTTGCATATGCTAGATAGCAATATGTACATCTTAGAAGCTTTTAATGCAGTCCATGAAATAATTCGATGGAGTATTAGAAAAAAATGCGTTGAGATATGTTGAATTCAAGTTAAAAGTGACCTTTAGTTCCGCACTCTATGATCCCTTACAAGGAACTCACCTATGCTTTCATTTAATTTTAGCTTCTAAAATCACCTGTTCAAGTAGTCATTTGGTCCATTGGTTATTTGGTCTATCAGTTATCAGTAAGATCCCTGGAGGTCTTCTAAAAATCTCCACATCTTATTACGAAAGGCATAGGCAAGTAAGTACGTGTAGTGTATTTTGAATATGATACATCGGCTCGGCGGATGCCAGAACTTCCTGAATACGATTCGTTTTCTCGGATCTGTAGTCAACGATGCTTCTCGAAAAATGTGTGGGTTGGGTTGCGGCCCGTTTGAGGATTTTTCGTCCTCATGATCATCGCTGAATGCCAGTGGAGTAGTTTGTCGCTGGAATCTCTGGATAACCGTTATAGTTCGCGACCACGTGGAATGGAACGAGTGAGTTGATCCCCAGTAGGTTTGGAACCAATGCGCTAACATCGGAGGTGCGAGTTGGTGGCAGGCAGCAGTAGAGGTAGAAAGGTAGAACGAACACCATGGGCTTTATGAAAAGCACCATTACCAATGCAGTAATTGCCCGTGGATAAGAGATAATGTCAATAAAGAGTGCTATTCTGCGTCCAAACTTCTCACGAAGCTTCTAATTTTCCAGATTATTAGGCCAACACGAGGTCGTTGCGTCTTCTCTAGAGCCAAATTGATTCGAGTCGGTTGCTCACAGCCTCACAGCCGGTCCATCGATGTGGTTCCTTGTTGGCGCACAGAATGGAATCTGATGAGTGAATTACCACATGATTAGAGAAACCGTCCTAGGCGATCACCTTTTTTGCAGAACGATTGTCGATCCACTATCATCCAGTACGATCTGCTGGTTTGGGTCCATGGTAGCAATGTATCCTGCAGAAGTCAGATGTTACATTAGCTGGCATATGACGGAAAATTTTTGAAGACCGATTTTCATTAAACATCGACGTGAACAAATGATATTTTGACTCCGGGGTGTGTCTTGCTCGCGTGAGCTACGTGTGGGCCAGTCCCGCACATAACATCACGATGAGTGGTGTTTCTGTTCAATGAGGCGTCTATTTGAAAGTTTGATCTTCATTAATACTTTAACCGTCTTTTCCACCGAATAATAAAAAGTATTCTAACATAAAGTACGTCCAGGTTCTGAGGAAGGCGAAGTCACCGAAACGTCAGCCATCGTTCAATAACATCAAAAACAACGACAACGACAACGAAGATCTGTACCAACCTCGCGTCAGCTTAAGAAGATCAGTTTATAAGATCACATAAATAAATATATCAACTATCTATGCCGTGGTTCATAGAAAGTCGGTCTTTCGAGTTATTTCTTGGATGATTAAGCTAAAATGAAGCTAGGAAAAGATCGCTCTGATCAGCACTGATTAGACCAAATTTTTCCAAGACCTCGCTGGACCAAAGGATCCCTTAAAAAAACCGCGCCGCCTATGTACCAGCTTGTTCAGAAATTAGTGTGTGATTGGCGTTTTTATTCTTTTTGTATATATTTTGCCAACATTTTCCCATACCACCATCTTTCCAGAGCTAATTTCACAAGCTTTCATAATTTCTGCTCGAATTACAATGCAAATTGCATAACATAGACTGCAATTTTTCCAACTCTTAAATGCTAACGTTCCGGATATGAGAGCAACATATCTTCCAGGAAATCTACTTTTACAAAATCTGATTCGGGCGTGTGCGGCCGTGTTGCACGAATTGCCAGCTCGTCGCGCAACCCGCCTTGCAATGGTTGAGCGAGCTGCGATACGAAATTCTCCCTCATCTACTGTACTTGTCGGTCCTCTGGTTCACCGAATGCCACTTTTTCAAGCACCTCGACCGTTTGTTGTGAGAGAAGTGCTTTGATGACCGAGCACTTCGGAAATTAATGCACGATTTCCAATTGCATCTTTAAAGCGGTATATCTAAGGCCAGAATAAGCTTTATTAACTGAAATCAGAACATTAACCATGTATTCGATTGTTT